ATCGCTACTAGGAGCAAGAAGCTGCTAGTAGCTCCTGGCATTACTACTAGTAACAACTAGAGTAGTAGGTTGGAGGCTGGACGCTGCGGTGGGCTCGTCCCTTGCGGTGAGGCATTGTTCGGTCGATTGATCGCCTATTAGGCACCCGTGACCCTGGCCGATCAGTTCGGGTGCCAATGAAGCAGCCAAACTGTGTGTTTTTTTGGGGGAGACGAAACGGCGTTGAATCATTGCAGAGGTTTGAAAGGGGATGAAGGGATATATTATATAAGTAAATCTGTTTTACATCTCGAGGCCGGAAGAAATGCAGGGGATGAGCGGGTTTGATCTTCGCCGGGAGCTTCATGAGTCTGATCCATGAGTCCCGATTCAGGGGATGTCCGGGATGTCCATGTATTAACTTCGCGACAGGAAGGCCGGAACGTACGCTGTCGAATCATCTGTTTTGAGCTGTCTAAATATCGGTCACTACAGGTGTCTCAGGGATCATCATACATTACATTACCTTTGACCTTTAACAACTAAATATATATATATATATAGATAGATCTAAAGTATATAGATTAGATATAGTAATTACACAGACTGCATTAGAGACAAAACTACCACTGCCGGAGATGGGCCATGGTTCAACGCACTCCATCACTCTACATAAGTAAATTACTCCAAATATATCTAGAACCCATTTGACCTCTGTTTTCATAGGAAACAATACAATTTTTGTGAGTGGTAAGTCCAAAATAGAGGTCATTCAGGTTCTAGGTATCTAAATATCTATATATACACCCATACGCTCCAAACAGCCCTTGGCCTTGGTCCCTCCAAACATAGGGATTGCTTCGACCCCAAACCCCTCCACTTTGAGACCCCCAGACCCCCTCCATATGTTTGGGCAAGAAGGATGTTCCATATCATTAAGTCATTAAGCGTCCTTTCGGATTCCAAAATGCACAGACACGACACATGGGACTGCCATAGGACTGCCGAGAAACAGCCAGGGGTGGTGCCAGAGGGATCTTTCTGGGGTGGCATAGATGGCAGTCCCATTAGTCGTGTCTGGGCTTGAGAACACCGTTTTGTGGGTTGGCGCCTCGATCCTTCGGTCGATTCTTCGCTTGCCATCCAAGTGACGCAGCGGCCACGATCAGCCCGGAGCTGGGCACATCCAGGCCTTGGGTGGCAACGACCGGATTTGGACCCGAACACTGCAGCTTGGATGTGTTGGATCGTTTTTGTTTTTTTCCGGATCCGGAGCGGATCCAGAGTGGTTGCAGCTGCCTGCCAAGAGAGGTTGAACAGCCTGAAAACACGCCCATCCCGTACGTACCACAGACCAGGGTCCGAACGTTCAGGTCTCAACCTCTCTTGGTGGAGACTTACTTGCCTTAAGGTTGTATCTGGACCGGATCGGGCAAAGCGGGCGATCCCTTGAGAGGGACCGACTCCTCGATATGCTCGAATGGGGCGATGTTCTAACCGACCGATCAAATACCATCAAATATCAGGAACATACCGTACCCGTGACTGGAGGCTTGTAGTCCTCACATGTCCTCACTGTACCATACATAGCTACGCTTGAAGGGCTTGTACGTATACTGCCTCCAACGCCGAGGACGCGAGCCGTTCGACGCCGCCGCGGACGCTCTCAGGAGAGCAGCGATGTAGGAAGCCGCGTTGATGCATGGGGTCGTAGACCTGGGAGGACGTGTTCGGGCAAAAACCCAACATGTAGGTAGACGCTCCACAGCATGCTAGCATACATACAACTATAAATACATAAATATATACTCCATGTTAGTGAGTCGGAGATTGTTATATCTAAAGTAACTATATATAGATAATTGCCTCAGGACCATCCGGGTCTCCAATGACTTTCAAAAGTCCGCAAGTAATTATTGTAGGGTAGTGGAGACCCCTATCGGATGGTATACATATATACCAGCAGCCGATGAGAAGCTTGGCCAAATGGTCAGTTTGAGCCTTGCACCTCGACTCCGTCAGACCTGCCGGCACTCCCTCCGTGGAACATCTACGCTGAACGAGACGAAAGCGACCGAGGGACTCATGGCACCAGAAAAATACATTGGAACATGGACGTGGCATCGAGCATATACAACGACAGGATGGTTTCTGATGTGGATGAAACTACTAAATGGGACCTGGAACCTGTTAAAGCTTGTAAAGTAAAGGGGCAGGAAACGCAAGTGCAACTGGGAGCTCCCCCAAAGTGACTCCATGTGTTTTCCAAAAGTCGTGTCCAAAACACAAGAATAAGGGTAAAGCCTTGGTCAGTCCTGCTCAACTTTTCCTTTCGCAACCGGTTCCAATACAGCGAAGCAGCCGTAAAACCTACAAAATAAACCCTGCTTCGTCTGTTCCTGGGATCAACGAGCTTGTCGACGCCGTGGTGCTACTGGATGCCGTCTCTTGGGCAACATCGCTTGCAGAAAGGGCGACATCAAGCCACGGCCATCACGGATGATCTCCTGAGTCAGCAGCGGAACGTTCAGTCGAAGTCATGAGCCTCACCAGGCCGTTTGGCCTAGGGTTCGGTGGGACGACGGGGGCCCGGTGCCAGGAGGGTCCAGTCATACCGAACCTGAGGAGGTACGACTGGAGGTGTAGAAAGGCACCGGCCAGGTCATCCACGTCACCGATGTTTTCAGTGTAAACTTGGGGCGTGTAGACTCCAAAAACACTCCCCAGAAGATGCTTGGACGCTTGGAGTCCGAAACGGATCCGTTTGAGGTATGGCTCCAAGTCACATTCTGATAAGGCTCCAATTCACTCCACGTTGTTTCATTTTCTGATTCTTGGAGCGAGCAGGAGCTGGCCTTGCTGAGGTCTGATTGCAGCGTTGATCCTGGTGCTGCATATGACCCTTTAGATCATCTTGTTGGCAGATTTGGTGTTCGACATATATGTATCATGGGACTTGGGTAGCTTGAGGCAGTGAGGCCCCCAAAATTGTACTATGATATGATGTGGTCCCAAACTTCATCTTGCTGAAAACAACTCAGCTGGAAATGACCTAGGCCCTAACCCACAATGACCATATTGCTCCTGGCAGGGCTTCTTCCTTGCTCTCCTGACCCAAACTTCTTGGGACACTACAAAACACAGAAAAACACATTGAACACCACCTCTTTCCATCTTCGGTTCAAGGGCGGCACATCGATGCACATCCCTGAAAATAGAAAATAGAAAAACGTCTGCCAATCTTCGGCCAGTCTCCACTTCCTCTTTGGGCTCTCTTTCATCCACCTGCCTGAATGGCCCCGAAGATGCGTCCGCTTCTTTTGCAGAACACGAGGAACACCGTGGCGTCCGGGGCGTTTGGAAGGAAACGAGTGGAAAGGTCCGTGGCGTCCACACGGAGCGAGGGGTCTGTTTCTTGGGGTCAACGGCTCGCTCGGTCTGTGATGGGTCTGTCTCCGTTGCCTCGTGAGGTCTGCGGTGACGAGTCAGTCAGTGCACGGGTGCCGCACTTGTATGTAAACTGTAAACCATATGTGAACCAACCCTTGTGGTACTTTGATCCTCGAATTCGCAAAAAAAAGGGACACTTAAATCAAGAAGCGCAACACCTGCAAACACGGGAACATGGTTCACGGTCGCCCTCCCAACGTCTCCAAATCCTGCCAGGCCGGAAACCATCTCCACCCCATACGCTCCAAACAGCCCTTGGTCCGTCAATGACGAGGGATTTGAGACCCCAGACCCCTCCATATGTTCGGGTCCATGAGCGTTTGGGCAGGTCGCCAGTGCGGGGGCTTCCAAAGCACCAAACAGCTTCCGCCGTGCCTGATCAGCATCACGAGTCCGGCTTGGGGGAGTACCGCTATGTACCGATTGGGGTGTCGAAAAGTCGAGGAACACAAGACAGAAGGAGTGCCTTTTCTGCAAAGTTTGGCTTCTTTGGACAGTGAGGAGACATGAGGCGACATTGGCGAAAACAAAGATGAGCATGTCCAGATTCGTCAACAAGCCCTGCCATTAAAATCGAGAGGTTGACAATGACAGGTCGACTTTCTTCTACAAAAGAATCACGTTTATGATCTAGTTGTTTCTGGAAGGTTCTGGTGCCAGTGGATGAGGTTGATGAGATGTCGTGGAGCTGTCGATGGGGTTCTTGTGTCGGTCTTGGTGCCAAAACGCCCGGGGCCAAGTCAGGCAGACTGGACTCTGAAGGAGGCCTCTCTGTGATGTTTCCGGCCGTCAACCCGGTCCCAAATTCAGCAACATGACGTTCTTCCACAACAACAACAACAACAACAACAACAACTACTACTACTTCTACTACTACTACTACTACTACTACTACTACTACTACTACTACTACT